GTTTAGGGTTTAGGGTTTGCAGAAACGCCTAAGAAGGGCTCCTGAGGATTCTGCAATCTCCGAGGGTCGCTCCGTGTAGTCGCAAGCCGCCTGTTGTAAATAGTAGCATCTCTATCTGCGTCATTTGGCCGCTACACAAACAGCTGGGATCTCCGCGTGCTTCCTAAAAATGCGGTACCTGTCACAGTCAGCAACCACTTCGGACCCATGGCATGGAAGTTTGCTTACCTTGTGCTCTCCCGGTGGCTCCTCGCTGTTCAGGGTGCAAGCCGCAGTCTGAATTCATAAGATCTTCTCTACTATTCCCAAACTCTCCACACACACAGGCTTCCAGTTTAGGGCTTAGGGTTTAGGGTTTAGGGTTTAGGGTTTAGGGTTTAGGACACCCGCTCTTTTTCTTTCTCTTCGACCAAGCGAAACTGCGTAGGCAGGGCAGGCCCGGCAGGCAGCAGACCTGCCAAGGAGTTGACTGTATTATATTATATTATATTATATTATATTATATTATATTATATTATATTATATTATATTATATTATATAATGTATAGTATATATAATATGATGCGATAGTATATTCTATTATCACAAGGGTTCAAGCACCGTGAAGGACTCTGGGCAAATCCGGCCGAAGCATAGCGACGTCACATTTTTCAGGTCGCGGCCAGCAGCTCTTCTTCTACGCTGACCAATGTCTTTGAAGTGGAGAACATTCCGACGGAGCTTCGTCGTCCTCACATTTATGGCACGGTCCCCTGAGGCGGAACATGTCGGTTCTGCCTAGGCTTTGGGGCTTATGTGCTGTTTCACCGTCTTACTAGCATCTTCAGCTGTCTCAGAGGCACTGCGCGCATGATCCACGGTGCGCGCCATGTCGATGTGAAGCCCTCCCGCTCCGGCCGCGTTCGCAGCACCCACACCGGTGGCTAAGGTGTTGGTGGCGACCATCTTCACGATGCTCTTCACGGCGTTGGCCCGCTCGCGGTTGAAGGCCAAGGTCTTGTCTGGAGGATCCAGGGTTCCTTTGGGAGTGGAGGTCGGGCATGCTCTCTTCGCAGCGGCGCCCTCGACCTTGTCACCCCCATTGTGCCATGAACCCAGGATGTTTATGCTGGAGGTGCAGAAGTACCCAGAGGTCCAACAGCACCTGTACTTCGATTCCGCTTCATGAAACCAGAAAGGACGCTCCGGCCTCAATTGCTTGAAGATTAGGCACTTGCCTTCGTTGATTGGCACTTTTTGCCAATCCTCCCCGCCCCTTGCCTTTGCCTTGTTCTCCTGCATGTGACTTTGGCAGCAACAGACGTCACTACGACCCTGTTCACCAGATGTAAGCAGCTCCACGACGTCTCGAACGCCTTCCACCACTCCGAACAGGACGACGTACCAGGCAAAAAGCATGGGTATTGCTGGCTGCACGGGTTGCTACCTGTAGCGTATACGGAAAACGGCCGCTGCTATTGCAGTCGGACACGGGGACCTGATCTAAACAAGGCTTCAGCCAAAGTTGCTCCCGGAGAACTTCATGACACGTTCTGCACAAGAGAACATAGAGGTGGCGCAAGATATTGCCGGCAGATTCTACATTCTGGCGTGCAAGACTTTGTACACGTGATGCTATGCCCATGCCTCAACCGAAGCCTCTGAGAAACCGGGGAATCCTCAGCACCTGAAGCGAGTGATGCAAATGTCGCTTATGATTTATGACTGGAAATACGTCCGCCGCAGGCATGCCGAGGAAGCAGTGCCACAACGGGGCTTGTCACGGAGTCAGCACCTATAAACCCGCTCACCAGCCTCTCTCTCCTGCTCTAGTCTCAGCCAGAGCCTGCAAGTGGCCTAGAACGAATGATGCTCTTCTAGTACCTGAGGTCCGGGCCATGGGGATACAGTGAAGTCCTCCCGGACACCTGTGCACAGGAGGTGAGGTTGGGACAGAGCAAGTCCACTCAGCGTGCACGGCAATGGAATGAGAGCACTGCTCCGAGGAAGTAAACTTCAAACAATCAGGGTTTAGGGTTTATGGTTTAGGGTTCAGGGTTTAGGGTTTAGGGTTTAGGGTTTAATTAGGGGAGAATGTGAAGGATTGGTTTCCAAGTTCTGGCTCAAGGAGTGAGGTGTAGGATGTGGGACGTCAGTTTCAGGGATTGCATATTAAGGGTTTGCACAGACAATCTCCTGCAGCTAAGGCGCTTTGGGGTCCGTCATCGCTGGTCACGGAAGCAGCACATGGGAGGCATTGCTGCGAAGGGTGATTGGGCAGTATTTCAAGAGGAAACCCGGGTTCCGAACATGAGCGGCCGCCTGACGAACCAAACTTCTGCGACCTGAAACCCTAAACTCCTAACCCCTAAACCGATGAACTACTGAGCTACGTTACAAGATCGTCTGCGATATGGCACGGGTTCTTGCACGGACAAGGGTGCTGTTGCTACCTTCACTGCAGCGGTTCGAGGATGTATTGAATGAACACCGAACAGAATGCCATACGCAACATTACACGAAACGACCCGTACATGAAGCGGTCATGGCACTGCACCGAGCTCTGCTTTCGCCAAGCTCATACAAGCGTTTGCAACGCTGGGCAGGTTCAACCTCTGCCTGGTGTTTTCTCCAAAACCCTCCCAATGTCGAGCCTCATCAGGCGAAGAGAATGCTGGGACACTTGAGTTTGAACCGCGATAACTGCGGTCACCTCATCGGAAGGACAACATTTGCAACAGTGGGCAAACAGCTGCGGTGCCCACAAATCCGCAAAACTCCTACAGTGACGTTGAACACACAAAAAACCCTACCAGCCTGCTGCTTAGGAAAAACATCTCGGATCATGCTCCGTGGCCAAAACATAGTAGTAGTAGTAGTAGTAGTAGTAGTAGTAGTACTAGTACTACTACTACTACTACTACTACTACTACTACTACTACTACCACTACGACTACTACTACTACTACTACGACTACTCTACTACTACTA